GGAGTTGTTAGGATTATGATGTGAAAGCTATAGAGATATCTAAACACCAATGTTAATAAGCAACTGATATGTGTAGTCTACAAATGCACTACGCGTTTATATGTATTTATATGTTACTTTATTCAGAGCATGAACTACTGGATTGCGTATTTACAATAGATAAGCTTTGTTTTGAAAAATGTAGAACATAATATGTGTAATAGCCACAACTATGCACATGACAGTACTTTGTAAACGACAGGTTGTATGTGAAAAAAGAACTGACCGTGAATGCGGATCAATGGTAGCGTTTCGTAGTAACATTATAACTAACCACTTAGATACCACTCAATAAATGATATTCTGTGATAGATGTAAGTCAACATAGATAGAGTTAACTGACGGTGATGGAGCACTTAATTATAAATATACTGCTAGAGGAACTATTTACTTTGAATCATTTGCCTACGAAACCTAGATTTGTCAAAGCGAAACTTTAGAGTACGTAAATTTTGCTAACAAGAACATTATAAAAACCTGAGTAGAAAAGTACATCACAAACTGAGTTTAGTTATACAATGGCAGATCTCCTATGGTTGATAAAATTGTTTATTCGTTAGAATCAAAAATTGAGAACTACCTATGTTCTATCTATAAGCTAAGATTGTTTTAGCTTAACCATATCAGGAATAAGATATCATTCAACGAATTTCGTCCTGTTTTTCTACAGAATTGGGATTCATTAACTTGATATATTTGTATGCTACTGTTGATTGTCAGATAAAGGAATCAATCCTTGTTCCTAGCTAGTTATTAGCTTAGCTGCTCGGTTGATAAAACTACCAAAGTGGTCAATAATTGTGGTATGTATCGTCATTCGTAAGGGTTTGCATACTTTTTGTTTTTGATGTTGATTAATTGAGTATGATAGACGAGTCCTAGATAACACTGGTAATCATTATCCAACATAAAATTGACATTTGGCTATTAAAAATAGCAAAACATCCTCTTATATGTTCATTTGCTAATAGATGCTGATCTAGTCGAGTCCCAAATATCAAGAATGAAAAAAATGTAATCTTTATCAAATATTGATTATTTTAGTCCTTTTTTACTATCGATTAGTTATGAACCTAATTATTTATCCGAATATTTTAATCGGAAGTTTACAGCATTCTACATTGCTGAGTACTACTAAACTCAAATAATGATATTACAATGAATAATAATATTTAACCATCTTTTTGTTGAAACAACAGATTCTCCAATACTTTACTAATTACAAAAACTACTAGCAGAACAAAAACTCAAAAATACAGAACATTCCTAAAAGATCGTTTTAATTGAACATGAACATAAGTTGTTAAATCATTTTTAACTTTACTTCTTGAATCTATACAAGTAAAGTTTAAATTTAAAAAGTGTATTGTCCTGAGAATTCTTTGCTGTAAACAACTGTTAAACAGAGAATAAAATGATGGCCACTGAGATTATTATATTTTCACGAATGTTTATACAGTTTTATAGACGGAAGTGAAGTATTATAAGGGATATTACTGTTATGGTTGCTGAACCTCATTATTAACATTTTCAAGTCATTAGCTAATAACCTGTCAACTTAAATTTCCTAGTTGTTGGAACTTATCAAAACCTCAAACAATTGATTAGCATTGGTCACCTCTTTTGCCATGGTATGCATACATTTTTCTCAGCATTAGTGATGCCGCTAATATTTCGACTACTCTTCTTTCTCAGTTTGACATAGTATGACAACATTGCTACACTAGTTCCCCAAGCGCTTGGTTTATCGTGTCTGATATATATATACCGATAATTTATGCGTAAAATCATACTGAACTCTTAACCATGTTCATAGATAAAGTCAATGAAAAATTATGAAGTTGTTTGAAGTCAATTTTATTTGTTTTACAATGAATCAAGCTTAAAAAAGCAGGGTGATTCTAACTCATTTTGATAATTACACTATCAATATGATCCAATTTGTGACAATTTAAAATCAGGACAACTCACTGAAAAAATCAAAGATCGATAAACAAATTCGTTTATTTGTGATTGGAATTAATTTTTATCTCCTTCTTTTCGCTAATTAATTTTTAAACAAAAGGTAAAAAGAAAGTAAATAAGTAAATAAACATGACAGAGAGAAATGAAATTTTGAATCTATTACTGACAATCATATAAAAGCGCGAACGATTCACTCTATCAATATTTTGAATGATTTTGTGTTTACACCGCTCAAGTTAGATTTTAAAGGAAGAGAAAAACGAAAATAAAAATATCTCAGGGGTTATCACATAAGGTGAGCATAATATTAGTTTGCATTGACGTAATGCCTTCTCGTGGGTGTGTGTGTGTGTGTGTTAAATCTTTTCAAAACAATTATCGGTTATTGAGTCCATACCATTCTACTGAATATATTCAATTTATATATCAATTACTTGACTTTAATTATACATCATAGTTCTTGAAATATATTATTAAAATATAATCATACAGTACAATATTGAATTTTCCTAGGACATACGAAACTGTAAAACAACAAATAGTTGCAATCGTATAATTACTCTATGGCATCTTCAATAAAAACCTTAAGACAGTCATACCGTACGGGCCTGAAATGTGGAGAACTACTACAACTATCATCAAAAAGGCACAAGTATTTATAAACAGTTGTCTACGCATGATACTCAATACTTGATGACCGGATACCATCAGCAACAGTCTTCTGTGGGAGAAAACAAACCAGATTCCAACTGAGGAGAGAATAAGGAAACGACGTTGGAACACATTACGCCGGGAAATAGAATCGGATATGAAAAGAATGAAGAAGAACAACTGGAAAGAATTGAAAAGAACTGCACAGGACAGGGTTGGATGAAAAGTGCAGGTGGTCAGCCTATGCTCCTCTACGAGGAGTAACAGCCGTAAGTAAGCAATCATGAGTTTTCATTACTAAAACACTCGCTGGTGAAACTGTTACCTGATAAATTTATATATATCGATATTTCAGAGTGACTGAAAAGCACAAGTGATATAGTTCAAAATTTACTCCAATGCATCAGTTCGATTCACTTTTTGAAATTCTGACTGTCAGTACTACTTGTTAATTTCATTATAATTTCCACTCTCTTTTTTCACTCACATTTTTCTTGTCTAGTTTTCCTTTTCCCTATCGTCAACGTTACTACTTCATCGGTTTGTCTCTCAAACATCCTGTTAATTTTATATAACAATTATGACCAATACATATATTCATCAGTTCCTGAGTCTACTGTGACTGAACATTACACAACCTATACTCTAACTTAATAAGGTAGACTGTTTGAGAATTAAAATTTATAGTTCTTTAGTTTAACAGAAATAATTACGGGATTCACGGAGTTATTAGCAGTTGCTTAAAGTATTAAAGCTGACCAATCAGGTTTAAGAATCCAGTTTCAAGTTTATCGATTATAAATCAAGTAAAGAAGCTGATAATCGATTGAGTGATTTATAATTGCAATGATAATTTGATATTAATGTATTTATATGAGAAGGAAATATTTTGGAAAGTCAATTATGTAATAATCGTGGGCAAATAAGGTCAATAGAATGTTAAAATAAATGTCATTATACTGCCTATATTGGCATAAGATGTCTGTAGCTAATGAAGTTTTCTGCTCATTTGAAAGTGACTCAAATAAATAATGCATTTATTATGAATTAGTTCATAAAAAACCCCATTAAACAGTACAACTGACATCGGCGATATAAATCAAGTCATAGTAGCTCAATGGTAGTAATGTTGTGGAGGCTTGTACTTAGAAATCATAATTAGGACAATCCCATCTGTGGTCCTGAGAGATAGAAAAGTGGAGACTGGTGAAACAGTCATTAATGAATGGGTGATAAAAGAAAAAGTGTCATATAGATAACTATCCACATCAACTTTTCTTTTCATGGACGTCGTGCAAACCTCTAATTTTCCTTAGAAAATGTCATAAATCAATATAGAAAACTCATTAAATTATTTAAATGCTACTTGTTTTTTATTGTTTTCCTATTAAAAACTAATAATACTCATCGCATATTTTCTGAGTGGTTAAAAGGGGACATACGTTTGTCAACGTCCTTTTATGAGTCGGGTACTTTCACCTCTATTCCTTAATCTTTCCTTAGAAAATAATCAACTTTTAGCTTACCTCAGAATAAAAAAACGACGTTAGTTTACAGTTAGAATTGATGGTCATTACCATTAATTTTGTTACAATTTATTTGGACTAGATAGATAGTGGCTAGAAGTGGGATCCAAGATATCTGTTTCGTTCTATCTGTAACCCATCATCTGAGTGTACTTACTAACCGTTGCAGATATCCACAACGATACTTGAACCTAATATCTTTCACTTCAAATGTCCGTGTTATCTACTGGGTAACTGAATCTAGATAACGATTAACTTGTATTGGATTAATATATTTCAGCCAAAACTAACCAAAATTTGGTCTCTAATATCATTAACAGAATAAGTTACTCTTACTTTTAATGTTACAAATATCATACTTATTAAACAAGTTATGCCTCAAAAACTTTTCATTCCTCTAACTAATTTCAAGTTCGAAATCATCTGTTTAATAAATAGATCACTTATAACTAACTTTTAATTTCTTTATCTTCAAAACTGACTACTGCATATTTACACTGGTATGATGTCACTAAAATAATAAACTGTCTATAAACAAAGCACATGAATTTTTATCGTTCGCTTTAACTGATTTACGAATACAAAAGCTTTTTTTCGAATAAATCAACCACATAAGTTTGTATTGCAATGCCATTTATGTTAACCAATAAAGCTAACTAACTAAATATGACAGTGAAAAATAATAAAACTCTAAACATTCTTGTTATTTTTCTGATCTCTAATTAAATCCAATAAAATATTTGAAATAATTATCGAGTGAATATCCTTCACAACTGAAAATACAAACAATGAGAAATCTAATCTATTATAGTTATTTTTCTATGTTCTGTTTATCTGATGCCAGTATGTTATTTTTTGTGTTGAAATAAATGAATTATTTTCTTTTAGTCTGTGTAATTCTCTAATTAAATCAGAATATTGTAATGAAGTTGATTCGTGATTTTTATCATAATTATTACTCATTTTGGTTGAACTTAATACAATTCTTGTTAAACAAAGTATTTGACTCGAAAAATTTGTTTGAATGAATATTTCGAACACAATTTGAATATTTTGACTATAATTTATCAGCTCATTTATTTCTATATTCAATGTTAAATATTCATCAGATGGTATTTTGATATGATCTATAATATAACCATTTTCTATTTTATTGATTTTTTTAGTTTTATAACTTCCCAATTCGGTTATTTTGATTGGTTGACTTGTTACAGATTGCGAATTTATATTGTTCAAACAATAAGTGGCACGAAAAATAAGTTCTGCTACAAAATACGAAAGAAGTAATAACCAATATTGTCAAAACAGGTATTTTTAATGCGTTTAGTTCATAGTTAATTATATATGGATCATAAATGAATCTAGAATATTCAATATCTTGATCGCAAATTATAGTCTCAGCTAGATAGATAGATAGATAGAAACACAAATCAGACTCACTTTCATTCATATAGACTCTTAAATTCGTTATCTTTCTAACATACAATTCAAGATGAGATGACCGTTTTGCATAAATTATTGACAATTCAACCATCGATGTTTTTGGTAATTGATAAAACGAAATTTCTGACATTAAACTCTAAATCAAGACAAAAATAGAACGGATTAACTATAGGAAACAGGTATTTATTGATGAAACTCATCCATTTTTAGTAGTTATTACATCATTTCACGGAGTCACATTATTTGAAATATCTCAGAGAGCTCTGAAGTTTCTTCCAATTTTGTGAGAATGATAAGTAATATATTTATGAATGGCTCTCAGGTTAAGAAAAAACTAGATAAATATAGTTTATTGTTAAAATCTCTATGGGTTTAGACCTTCATATGAATGTATGCCACAAATCAGCTGAGAAATTTGTGGGGCGTCAAGTAAATATTTTTTTCTAACGACAAGAGAAGCATCATTTAAGGAAGACGGCAAATATAACAGATGTGATTATACCCAGAATATTATGGGAGACATTCATTTGTTCTATTCTCAACCCAGCTGATACCGTTGAAATTGAGATTTCTTGACCAATGATCGGTCATCTTACCATAATTATCATACGAACCGTTTTTCATTAGGTCTTCTAAGAAAAAGGTAAATTCAACCTACCCCTGAACTTTTAAAAAACATTCTTAACTACTTACAAAATATTCAGTAGTATTTTTAATATAACAGTTTTTCAAGGATTCTTTTTTTTAGCATATTAAACATGTATTCAGATGGTTTTCAGGTATTTAAAAAATGTAGCGAGCTACTATACTTGTAACTTCACCATTATGATAACGCTGAAAAATAGCCGACAAAGATCGTTGGGACAAGTACCTTCAAGAGATATATGTGTATATGTTTACAGTACACTCCAAATTTTTACTACAACAAGAAACTGAAGCAGTGAAGGAAAGTCAGTCAGTAGCATTTATTTTTTATTTGATGGCAAAAATACAGAAAGACTAATGTAAACGAAATCACCCTAGTAGTTGTCGCGACCAATTTTACACCAGGTGTCTCAGTGAACCCAAAATTTGGATGAACCTCGTACTTATCAATACACAATCATTCCACAAGTGTTACGTCAGCTTACTCGGATGATTTTTTGCTATGTTGTTGAGAGTCGATCGCATGAAAGACCATCAAAATGACCTGAAATGGCATTACTGTGATAACTAAAATGTTCACTTTTTAATGGAGTAGATAACGAAGATGTTATCAAGACAGATAATGATAATATCCCAATCAAACCATCAAACTTGTAGAACACAACACCTCCCGGATATTTATATGAATTGAAACATTATGTGTATCTGGCTCTCTGGTATTTTATTTGAAAATTTGGGCGATTAGGGGACTTATTTCGATTACTAATTCCGTGACGAATATTTTGGCGAGATTGAAGCGTTTGTGTATTAGGCAAAATACGACGATCATATTTTAATTATTTTCAAAATTAACGTATTTCATAATTGTATCGATAAAATTAGACGACTTTTAAAATGGAATGATTTCACAACTTTGGATAACTGTGATGAATATAACATCAGGCTAGTTACACTCACCTCTTTCTTCACTGAGACAAACTCTAACCAACATTTAATCTACTAAATTCATCAGTTTATGTTAATACTTCTGGAGAACTGAGTGAATAAAGAATAAGACTATGAATATAGTGCTATAGGAAAATTTGAAAACTTTTGCCGAATCTCTTACATTTTGATAAACACTGTTAATTAACCATCTTTTCTGGTGTCATAAATTCAATCTATCAACAATTCCATAGAATATTCATAAAACCAACAACTTAAAAAGTAACTTTAGTCCCTATTTCTTACTCAATGAAGATTTTCAAAGTTATTTTTCATATTCAAAATGATTAAAGTAGGAAGTTACAATTTACAAGCATATAATCTCTATCCAATGACATTTTTTTTAAATTAGATAGTGAAGTTCTATAACTTTGTTTCTATTTTCGGAATAAAATAATCACTGACTACTTTACAAATTTCTAAACACTATGCCTTTATGAAATTTGAATTGTTTATGAAATGCTGTTGTTTCATTCTAAAGCTTCACAAACATCAAATGATGCTGAAAATGTATAAATCAAAGAGATGTAATTGTTGTTTGATTAATTCGATTGAACATAATTGAATAATCAAATCAAAGGTTCAGTACTAAATCATAAGCTATGCAATGGTCAAAAATTTTACTGAGCTTCTGAAATCGAATCAGAACAATAAGCGTTCAAATTCTATTAAGAACTTGTTTCAGAATCAATTCGGTGAATAATTACGGTATCATCAATCAAACATTTTTGCCTAATTTAATAACCTGATCATATTTTTGAACTATAAATTTTCCCATAGCATAGCCAAAATTTATTCGTATGAGGTCATTGTTTGGTGGCTAATGCTTCATAAAGGGTAGCAAGCTTAAGTAAGTAAGCAATGTAAATATACTTAGGAGGGATTAACTCATGAAAAAGTATTGGTTGAAGCATCGTTAGATGGTAGAAAGAACGGTAAAGGTTAATATTATTACTTTAAGCAAACATTGAAAATATCAAATTAATTTATCACACTTTCACCTGTTAAACTTTGCAGTTTTAAAATAACCAATTTTTCAGTTTTGTATTACAATAATTCAGTCAATCAGTTAGTAATACTCATCGTGGAATTTTTTTTACTTTTACTTACGCCTGTTACTCCCAATGGAGTACAGGCCGTCGACCAGCATTCTCCAACCCACTCTGTCCTGGGCCTTCTTTCCAAGTTCCATCCAACTGTTGTTCATTCTTCTCATGTTTGTCTGGAGACTCATCGTAGGACCGGGCATATATATCCATCGATCCCACTTACCACGCTACGCTAACAAGGTAAGTTACCATACATCTACAACTTGTAACAGTATTAATAGTAGCAGAAAAGAATTGGAACGAACGATCTGACTCAAGAAGAAAGACTGAAGTCATTGAGCCAAGATGTGTAAGATACTTTTGAAATTCAGGATCTACAGAAAGACAAAGACTGAATAGATGTTCACAAATGGGACCGATTCTGAATCATGTCACTCGTCTCCAACTCCCGATTATGATAGTAATGTGAACCCTAGCCAGGTTGTTTACACCTAGCAAAACAGCTCACTAATACGGTCAATATCTTTATGGACCTTTATCATGTTATAGTTTTGTCACTCATAGTTTCCTTTCAACTTAGTCCTACATCAGCAAACACTAAATCTAGAGATAAACAAATTTTCATACATACATAATCCTCTTTACTAGCTTCTCTGTTAAATTTTCCATTGTTTCTTAGCAAATTTGGTTTCCTTTCAATGATAGATTTATCGGAGGAATATAATGGTGGATAGAATTCTTGCCATATATGTATTAATTCTTTTGGATAATTAATTAATTTTTCATGATCTATCCTATAAATTGCTTCACCAATACATAGCATCCCATCTGCAATTTTTCCTGATTGTGATGATTTTTGACTAGACTGATGACAGTAGAGAGAAGATAGTAGATTGAATCTTTTACTGATATCATATTGTTCTTCAATGTCACTGTATACAATGTTTTGATCATTTGATGCTGAATATAATACTGAAAATACTAATTCACTGTGTTTTAATTCATTAAAGGGAATATCAAAAACAAATAATTGGTCAAAGCATGGATTTGCAAATGTCTGAACTGGTGTTGTAAAATAACTTCTATGCAAATCATCATTTTCTATATAAAGTTCTTTTTTATTTAATGAAAAGTCTATTCTTTGCCTTAATTGTAAAACAATAATGAATATTGTTTGGATTTGACTTGGAAATAACTTATTAATTTTTCCAAGATTACTGACACCAGTCAAATGACTGATTATAACATTCAATTTTTTTAAAGTGTAAATATATTCAAGACTGAAGTGTATGTGACCAATAACATCTGAATATTTTGTAAATTTCATCCATGAATTATTTGAATAAGTCTGATGTTTTGATTGAAAAGAAGAGAACACATTTATAATTGGTTGAAATGTTTTTTTGAAATTGAAAAATAATTTTACTTCTGATGAAAATAATTTTTTTGATGTCATTGATTATTTGTGCCAACTTAATCTCTTTTATACTTTTGTGCTCGTACCGAATGAAATGTTTATATATATATATATATATATATATATATATATATATATATATATGTTTAACTTAGATCCAATAAGTAGGATAAAGACTTCATTAATTCGACATACTGATTTTTACTTGGTTGTAATTCCACCGTTATCTGTTTTCACTGTTTAAAATTTTGTTCATGTTTATTAAATGAATTTATTTATTGCGATCATTCAGATGTGATGAATTTTGTTCAACTTTATGTAAACAGATTTTAGTATGGTGGTTCAGAATAATAATTGACTTTTGTCAAGGCATACGATTTCATCTCTATACTATTAAAAAAAGAACACTGACATAATTGTAAGATAGTGAAGTCAATAGAACGAATTATTAGTTTTTAAGTCAAAGACAGTACAATTCCGTCGGAATGATTTAACTAAATTTTCAACATAATATAATGATTGTAATTAATAATTGACTGAATAATTAACACGGGACAATAAATCATATTATTTAATGATTCTGAAAGCTGAATTACACTATATTCAACACGGACGAATTATACATGAATATTTAAATTCTTACTTGATAAATATATATTTATCTGAATACAACAGTTCAGAAGATTTTAATTCATCATGTTCCCATTGAGATATCAAAAAGGCAAGTTAAGCGAAGAAATATTTCTTTTCAATTAGTTCTACGTCAAGGCTCTACACTAATACATATGTTTTATAAGCGAGTAGAAAGTGAATACTAATTAGATGGTGGTGAGTCAGTTTAGCAAAATGATAGTCAGTTAGGTACATAACGTTTGAAAAATTTAAATTTAAACTAAAGTTAATCTTCATAATCAGTTTGCTCTGCTTAAGAATCCCATACTAGGACGAAACAGCTGTTTTGTGCTTTCTGGTTTCCAGTAATTGTCTAATTTACATTGATTCGTGATTTCGATAAAATTCATCAATTTCCATAACCTACATACTGAAAACCGCTACAGTAGAAGTGGTTATTCTGTTCAGTTTAAAAATATAGACAGAGCTTTTAAAATTTCCTATACTTAATAGCGAATGGTAATTATAAGAGATAACAATTTAAAATACTTTAAAATAATGATGATAATAATACAATAATTATCACCGTCTTATTCAGTAATATATTTTCAGTACAATATAAAATTCTCTGTGTATAATATTTCAACAAGTACCTCTTAGGCGTCACAAAAATATCATGTGCTCTCTGGTGACTAGCTGCAAAAACGAATTTCCGGAGTTTTGGTGAGAAGCAATGACCAGTGAAGTTAATCCTTGTCGTGTGTGAGGCAGTTATCCAGTGAAGACAATGAAAGTTGGTTACACAAAATTGTGCATTGACTAATGGTGGGCACTAACACCGTTAAATCCTGGCTCAGTAGTCTAGAGGTTAGGCGTTGGTGTTCGAGACAAGTGTCGGATTGGATTTCCTGTCGTAGTGTGGTGGTGGATGCGCACTGTCAAGTTATCCCGTACTAGGACAAAAATGTTATCCAATCCTTATGGACTTTCAATGGTGGTCTAACTTAGATCCGTTCATGATTTTACTAGAAACAGACTATGGTTCAATATATTCCAAAAATTCTTTCATTTCAAAAGAATTAAAAGAGAAAGAAACATGCATACATACAATAAAATCATCTGCATACTCAAAGTATTTTTAACCGAACTTAGTGGGTCATTCAAGAAAATAAGGAAAAGGAAATGAAGAAGAACAACTCATTGAGGTACACCAACTCCAATTTATATATTAGCAAATCATTTTGTATTCACGATACTGTCCTTTTACATTCATTTAGCTATCGTGGTCCTGATTTTAACACTAGTAAACTTGTTTCAAAGCTTAAAAATCACTTTATAAATATTTATTTTAGCTTACTGATACTATTTAATTATTTAACATATTCTTATAAAATCTAGCCATAATAAAAACGAATCACAATTTATACCATTGCATTTTATCGTTCAAAGTTCTACAGAGCAGCTACAAGCATCACAGTTACAAAGGGGGTGAAAATACATTCGTACCAAAATTAATGAAAGCCAAAAACTTTTAAAAATTTTTCTGAAAGCTGAACGATGAACATCATTTCGTATGGTAAACTTTAGAGAATTTTGGCACAAAATGACTTCACCATATTTTATAAATTGACAGTATGATTTCATATTAAAAATATGAAATATTGAATGCGATGAACCAGACGTTTCGGTCACCTATCTACTTCAAAGCATTCTTCAAACTTTCAGGACTAAGAAACATTTACTAGCATTTTCTCCTTTGTGAAAATCATTATTTTTATCTGACAATATGATATCATGACTAATTTTGTTGTTAAACACTTAATCTAATTTTATCCAAATACAATGTGTAACTTTAGATTATATTTAAAAAGAAATAAATCAACAATTTGTACCCGAAATAATTATTGATATATTCAGTCAAATATAATATAACCGTGTGATATAACAATATAGCAAACATTTAGCCTAAATCAATTTCACTGGAATGATAATAAACGTTCGAAATGTGATTTCGAGACCAAGAAGTATGGATCCAAAAATTTCGCAACAGATTAAACTCTAGCTTTATAATAAATGTTATTCGATAATATAATCTAGAGTACCTCAAGCTACTTTATCAAGTAGATGTAGACCTCATTAGATACATATAAGGAACGACCCTTAAAAAAAGAATCGATTAAATCGTTCACCAGGTGTTTGAGTTATGAGCTAATGGCAAAAACCTTAAAAATAAGAGATTCCAATGAAAAACAGTGTAAAGTACTTTTGAACAACAGAGAATTCCTAGACACCTTTTTATAAGTAGACGAGAACATTTGAAACCTATATGATGTTTTAAAATATTCGGTTAATATTTTGCTCATTTTTTAATAGCTAGTTTTATTTTAGTAGGACAATTTTTTTAAGTTCAAGATCTATACAACTAGTTTATGTAAAATGTTGACTTACCTTAAAGTGCTTCTGCCTATCAGTACTTCATCTATAATTTTAATGATCAGGTCAAGTAAATAACATAGATTACTTTAAGTCAATAATGTTTTTTCCCCAAATACATAAAATTTAGATTTTCTCCTTGACTTTTATAACTACAAGTCCCGCATTTTATGGACATATACACAGATGCAGACATATATCTTCATATTAAATTAAACGTTACTGAAGTAGAGTTCAACTGAATATCATATTGATAAATATTTTCTACTCCTTTCAATTTACAGTCTTCAGATCAAGCCAGAAACGCTACATTACATTATGATTAGTCGAATTCACTCTTTAGTTTCCTTTCCTCTTGGTTTATATCTCAAATTAAAATAGACCTCATCAGGTGAATAGAAGAATATCTAAATTCATTGGTTTGAAGCTAAAAGTAGTGATGATTCAAAAATGGCCAATAGGCTTTAAAATAAGTTGTATTGAAAAGATAGACAAATGAAAATTTATAGACCCGAAGTTCCTAAGCTCAATTTCTATTAAAGTCCAAATATTTTCATCTCAGTTTTTCTTTCATTCATCAATCCGAAGTCATTTTAATAGGTATCATATTTTACTCACTATGTTTATATAGGATAGGGAGAACGTGGTTAGCAGTGAAAACCTGAACGCTTTTATCTTCCTATTTAGCACTCGTTAGCTGGATATACCTGCATAATAGCATTTTGTATACGACTCTAAAACTACAGCAGACCTTTTCAGTAGTATTTTTGCGAATAGTAAAGAATTTTTGAATTGCACTGTTTCAAGAGTCATATGAGTGACTAGTAACTCAATAAAATCTATCTCCTTCACAAGCTTGAAAATTAGTAAGGCTATGAATGCCCTTAAGGTTTCGAGTGGTCATGAAGTAGACGGGATTTCATCCTTTCTCTATAAATATGGTGGTCCAAAATATTACACTTCTAAAGCTGCTTAATCTTTCTATGGAATCAGGCTCTTACCCTTATCGTTGGAAAACTGCGTATATCATACCACGTTACAAATCTGGAGATAAGACTAACATGAACAATGATTGGCTCATAAATATTACTCCAGTTATCTCCAGGTTTATGAAAAAGTTGTTAGTGGCGAACTCTCCAACTATTTACTCTCTTAAAAAATTTATCAATGATTCTCAACATGAACTTTTAAAAACTCGATCTTGTATGACATGCCATTTCCACTTTTTTAATTTAGAACAACATATATAAGCGACCAATATTGTTTTCGATTAGATCCTCATCAGGATTTACTCTAATATAAAGTAGTATTTATATGCATATACGAAATGATTAAACCAATCAAATATACTCTTCACGGTCTAATTATCTGAACACTTCTTATTACGTGATCTTATAATTTTTATAAATGTTATCTCACTGTCTATGCTTTTCTAATCATTGACCTATTTCCGATTATTTAACATTGACTTAAGCCTTTATTATTCTTATCAAAACTAGTACACATGTCATCACACTATCAATTTGTACTTTTCAGATAATTAGTAATATCAACGTTTCAAATTCAAAGATTACATTGATATTGTACTTTTCACTTATTATGTAATCTTTTCTGTTGTTATCATTGACTCAGAAACTACCTTGATTGGTTTAATAATTTTGTATATTAAGTAAGAAAGAAAGATTAGTTCAGCGAAGAGTTCTCTTTTCGGCGAACTCTTCGCTGAACTAATCTTTCTTTCTTACTTAATGTCATAATGGGTTAATTTTGTATATGCATATAAATATTACTGTATATTAGAGTAAAGCCTAATGAGGATCTAAGTGAAAACAATGTTGTTCGTCTACACATGTTGTTCATTAATTTAGTCTTTTCTCAACATAACCAAGGATGTTTAGTCTAATTTTTTAGTTTAATTTTTTTAATTATGCTTGAGTTGACATTTCTAAAGCCTTCGACATGGTTAGCCACCAACTTCTTATAGATAAGCTCGC